GCATTCTGATGAAATCTGACTACAGACTGGGCCTTCCTTTTTACTAGAGGAAAGATGATGCATTCACAGCAGTAAATTCAACATTTCTGCTGCTATGGTTAATTAACCATAACATAGAAGTAGCACAGCAAGCAGTGAGAATGTTTATAGGCAAGGGATTAAGAAAGGAAGGAAGATTTAAAAAAAAAAAAAAAAAAAAAAAAAAAAAGAGGTGACTAAAGTCTAAGCAGAATCTGTCTGGAGCAAAAGGAGTAATAACCATGAGCTTTCAAATGTCAAAGCCATGTAAACATTAGTTGGAGGTAGAAATCACTTTAATGTAGAACAGGAGGATTTATTATGAGGTATTAACACATTTTTATCATTGTTTCATGCTATAAGTTTCATCAAAGTACAAAATAAAGATGGATCTGTGTCCAGAAAGATTTTACAATTTTTCTTGATGCTGCAACTGAAAATTGATGTCATATGGGCAATCTTGTAAACAGGGGAAGGGAAAGCTTTTTGATTTGCCTAAAATACTCATGCAGTTTTCTCCCTGTTGTGGCACAGAGAGACATGAACATTTTTTAAATTCTGTGCTAAAACCATTGGTTTTTTTACAGGTAAGTATGTATGATTTGAATGTCTCAAAATTAATTTATCTTCAAAAGCATAAGCAAGACAGGTTTTGTGGGCAGAGGCCACATCTTTTATTAAACCAATTAATGCAGTTGGAGAATATCTGGAAAACTTTTTCTTGCTACTTAGCGCATGGTTGAAATAAATCAGTAATGTACTTTACTTTTGTAATTTCTGTTTAATATTATTTTGAGATTATTTGGCCTTACCTCAGGAGATTCGTTTGATAACTAACTTTAGCTCTTTTAGCAGTGATTCCCCAGCTTCTGCACTGTTAATTAGTAGATAAGCTCAGCTATCTAAGGCAGCAATCAGTAAGCAAGCACTCCTTGTAAGACTGAATATTTCAGGGGTTTCCCTTCTGACCAGCTTATAATATTAGGAAAAGCAAACTTTATCTGTGGCTGCATCTTACTGTGTTCACAGTGTATCCAAATCCTTATTACAGATCAATTAGTCTGGTTTTGAGCCTTTTGGATTTAGGATCACAGGATTAATGAAAAGAAAATGAGTGGGTAGCAATATCATTTCATATGGAGATAAGGAGAGACTGAGCATGAATGAGGATCTCAAGACGCCTGAATAAAGAATTTCCTCATTCTGTCAGTGAGGTTTTATGGGATATGGAGGGAGGATTACGGGAATATTCATGACCAGATTAAGAGGCATAATGAGTCGATGTATGAACCAGCTTATCTTTTAGGTAAACAAGGGTTAAATGGAAAGTAGAATAGCCATTCATTGCCCCGAGGCCTGTGAATTTTACTGTTCTAAAGATGGAAACAAGGGTTTAGTTACAGTTATTCTTCATTGATTTAATTTGATTTTTGATCACTGTTTAGCAGGTGCTGGAAGAATTATGTATTTGTAACTTCAGGTCTGAATTAAAACTACCAAAGACCACGCCATCTTTCTAGAATTCAGTGTAAGCGATAGTATGTATTTAAACTTCTGCAGTATCGTATAATAAGAGTGTAGTACTTCAACAGCCTTCTGTGATATTGGAGCATTGTTTAACAGTGCTGGGGTAGTTCAAACTGTTACAAAAATAATTTGCTAGCAAGCTGAATGCTTTTAATCTGTGGCTTACTTGTACATGGAAAAACACAGTATCACAAAACCTCGAAAGCGCAACAGGTCACCTTTGTCTATCCCTTATAAGTATTCTTATCTGAAACCCAAATGATGTTCTGGGTTTGGCATGTTGATAAATCTTCCTCAACAAAATGTACTATAATTTACAAGTGTAAGTTACTAATATTTTGATCTAGGTGTCAATCAAAACCCTGCAAATGTGGGTACACAGCTTGTACATTTCACGGAGGAGAGAACTTCCCCAAGTAAAGATGGGTAATGTCTGACTCTTTAATTGTAACAATTAATTGTTGTTCCAAATGCAATGTCACATGGAGCTGATGAAACTGTGGGCAGTTATCCCAGAATTGCAGACCCTGCACTTGCACTCATTAGAAGAGTTCTGCCTGAGCATTTATATTTACGGGTTTATTAAGATGTGTGTTGTGTAAATGCATAACTCTACCATTAGCCTATTTAAAAAGTAAACCAATTTAGCAGACTGCTTCTCTGTGCTACAGAATGGACTTGTGGGAAAATGTTACAGGTTGGCTGGGGTCTGCTGCTGCAAAAGGCTTTACTACTGCTAAGAATACAGGGCATAGCATGAATAATTGCAGTTATTTGGCAGTCATTGTAACTGTTCTTTTTTAAGAATAGCCAGCATGTTTTTTCAAAGTATTAAATTACCTCAAGACCTCATAATTGTTACAGTTAAGCAATCATTTCAATTCAGTCCAAGTATAAAAACTAATAAAGAGCTCATAATATGGAGGCAATTTTAGTATGTCTGTTCTCTGAGCAAACACGCTGATTCAGTATATTTTGGTGGAATACATATTTGCTATCCTGTTATTTTAATATGCCCTAATCAGAAAATTAAAATAGATTTTGTTGGCACAAACCTTTTTTTAAGGGTGAAATAAATAATTATAGATTTTTGCTGATGCTGTTGATTTTCAGGACTGGAATATTTCATTAGCAAGAGGTTGAGAAGGGAAAATATTTGCATTTAATACTGCTAAATCTGCCTGCTTTTGCTGAGTCTAATGGCTTGATCAACATAAAGAACATACTTGGGGAAAGCATGTAGCAATTAAAATTAAAAAATCCACATCAAAAATAAAGCTATTGAAAGCACAACATGAAGAGATCTTCTGGGTCGTGAGATCTAATCGCCAGTTATCACTGGCAACTGCTGCTCATTTTGGAGAGTGAGGTCCAGGATTAATAATGTCCAAAAATATGTCAACTCTGTCCAAGGTAACAAGACATTATTTCAAAGGCTAATTTTGTAAACATGCATAGAGCATCAGTATTGGAAGCCGAGCTAAGTAGTGGCCTAAATAAATGCCATAGAATTAATGTTTTCATTACGCAAGAGGTTTATATACTGACGTGCAAACAATACATATTCTCTTTTTATTTAAAAAGATGAATGATGAAAAGATGAAAACACTTTGAATGTGCTTAGTAAGGAGAAGTGATCTCTATAAGTGATGACTACTTATTTTTCATTGCTGCTTTCAAAGATTCTCTCTGCTGAACTGAATTGAGGATTCCCCACCCCACCCCCACCCCCCGGTAAAAATCAGCTACTGCTGTTTCTTAACTTCCAAGATACAGCTTTTGCTCTCACACTGACTGTAATGTTCAATACTAAAATACTTCAAAAAAACAAAATCAGCTGAAATTCAAGAAAGTTCTTTGGCGTTTTCTTTAGGACCCAGAGTGTGATTCAGCCTCACTGTACATCTGTGTTTACAGATAAGCACCACTGGGGAGGGGGACACTGAAGTGTTGAAAGTATAAGTGGTTTGCCCTTCGTCACCTAAGAATTGCATGATGAAGATATAAGTTTGAGATTTCTTCATCCTCATGCGGGCTATTTCCCGTATTTTATTTCAAATGCTAACTAAAATTCTGTTAGAACAGGACTACAGGGTTTTGTTGAGTTTTTATTATTATCATTATAATAATAATTACTCTAAAATGGATTTCATAACTGTCTGTGGGATTATCACTTTGTTAACGGATGAAACTTTTAGTTCCCTTAGCTACATTCTTAGAGCATTCTCTTTGGAGGTAATTTTTTTTTTCCCCACTCATGCTTGTGTATCCCATTTAAGGCTGATTGTTTTGTTTTTCTTTCTTTTTTGCTGTTATTTCAGCTCAGCAAAGCAAGTTTATTACATATGGTATTGCTAAAGAGAAGAAAACGTTAATAAAAGATTTAAAAAAGAAAAAGCTCAAACCTTGTATCTCATACAAGGGAACATACGGCTTTAATCCAATAGTATTTTTAGCTTGAAGAAAAAAATTTTTGTCTGTGTTTATGCTCATCTAACTTATTTTTGTCTGTCCTACTGCTCTCCCTGTTCCTTCATATTTCTGAAGTGTGTGTTTTTCATGGCTATAATCACACACAGAAGGAGCTTCAAATGAGGATGTGGTGAGAGAGAAGCAGGAAATCTCGCAGGCTTTGGATTCCAGCTACATTCTAAATCTTGCTTCATAAGCAATTTAATAAATCAAATAGGTTATACGATGACAAGTGTTGTATGGAATTGAGAAAAGAGTGGAAAAATGCCTAACCCCCTGAATTTTTCTGAATCGATGTTGCCTTTTCATTCTTAGTAACTATTTGTAGTTGTGTTCAAGTCATGTTTTTGTAAAGAAATAAACTCCCAGCTTTAGTATTTGTATAAAATAAGATTCTGCCCTCATCCATCTGGTTACTACTGAAATGCAAGGAAATCAAGTGCAAGTTTTAAACATTCTTTACATCGCGCATGCCCTTTTAAATAGGTGTCTTGAATACTGACGTTTGGTTCCCTGAAATTCTCCCTGCGAATGATTAGTAGTGTTTGTGACACTTGCTGTGGAGAATAAGGATATTTGGTTAAAAGAGAAAGGGATTAGTGGGTGTTATTTAAAAGATAACAATTCCCTCCATGTAACAAGGTGTGCAGTAGTTCTGCTGTGCATGATCTAATTTCAGTTTTTTTAAATACAACATTTCTAGTATTGGATTGCTTTGGTAAATTTTTTAATTATTCAGTTAGCATGGTAATCATAAAATATGTTTGATGGGTTGATACGGGACAGGGTTTCATTTCTTCTGATGTAGAAAAATGTTCTAAATCTTAGTAATTAAGAAATTAAATCCATAGGATAGTATTGACGACAGCATTAGTTTTTGTTCATGTTTGCAAGTTTGTTTGGTTTGTTTCTTTTTTTTCTTTCTGGGCATGTTCTCAATTAAGTAGTAGGTATTTGAACGGTGATCTTTTTAATTCCTCCAGAAAAAGTTCGGGAAATCCAGGAAAAACTTGAAGCCTTCATAGAAGCCCTCCATCAAGAAAAGTAGATTGTTCAAGCAGGTAATCATGTTTAGATCATAAAAAGATTGCTACAATTTTCTCATTGTTCAGTATAAAATGATTATCCATCCCTTTTAGATGCGCATGTTTTCATACAGTGAATTTGTGAAAATTCCTTTTTTATTCCAGTGCCTGGCTGCTGCTGCTTCTTGCTTCTAATCTGCAGAACTATACTTTCAGCTTTTACGCTACAAGCAGATATGAAACTTAGTAGAAATACAATTACTGCTAGTTATTCAGATATTGTGAAACACCGTAAGCTATTTGATTACTCTCAGTTCATTATTTTTATCTGTGTTAAAAAAGGCATGACTAGCTGGAATCAAAATTAAGGGAACACTTTTCTTGTCTATAAAAGTCTTTTGATTCTTTTTTTTTCCTTAAAGGTACTGTGTATTGTTAGCAAAAATATTTGCATGCAGGTAACTTCCAAATTTCTTTCTTCTATATTAATTCTCAAAAACATAAGCCTAAGTGCTGTCATATATTTGCACACATTTTAAAATGATCTCCTTTCTGTTTCAACAGCAACTTTACACAAGAATGCAGGCTTTTCCAGGATACCTTGCACAAAGAAGACTGAATAGAAATGGCTTTTGTGTCCCATTTTCTTTCCTGTCTTTTGGGGAGCATCCTGAAATGTTGGAGGAGAAAGAAAATAATGTCTCATGGGATTGAGAAGTTAAAATCCACTTGCTCTTTTAATTTTTGAAGCTACATGCACATGACAGAAGAATCTGACTTGTGTGTCAATGAGATGGCTCGGGAGCTTGCTGAAGTTGTACATTTAAGGTTTGGGTTTTTTTCCTGAAAGGAAGAAAAGCTTTTATTTTTGGCATCTGTCTTGTATGGTGGAGCTGGATCAGATTCATTATATTATCTGTTGTCATTTTCTTGCCTGCAAATGATCCTGGGAGTTTGACATAAAGTTTAGGTATTTGTATGTACATTAAAATGCCCTTCTAAGTAATGCCATTTGTATTTGTTATGCTCTGTGTTGAAGCATTCTCTGATCACTCTGGTATAGATTTAAAAGCATGGTGTTGAGATCTTGAGAGGAAGTTGTGGATTTTGTTAAACTCCTGAACTCTTGAGAGACATCATCCAAGCAATTCTTGTAGTGCTTTCAAGTGAAAGTACAGACTGCTATTCACTGACACCTTAAAAGGTTTGGCTCAGGAAATAATGTCAACAGCTGCTCCTTTTACCTGTTCTTTCCTAATATATGTTGTTACTCTTGAATCATAGCCGATTACATTTCATTTCTGCGATTGCACAGACTCTGATTTCCTTGTTAACTCCTCCCTTCACCTTAGGTACAAAGTAACCTGATCGAGTACGTGTGAAATGTAGAAATTCCAACAATTCCAACTTGTCCAAGTTGGAAAAAAGGAAAAAATATAATTAATTTCATTTTTCTAATAGCTACTGTAAGACGAAAATCGCTTTTATAAAAATGTTGTGCACAAGGTCCTTCCATACCCACTTGATTTCTATCATTCAGAATAGTAGATAGTCTTTCTTTTACTGCCTTTCAGTTTTGCCATAGAAATGTCATTTCTGACAAATTTAAGCATGATATAGGCTCTGTGTCATAGGTGCCTGCTCATTAATCACCACCATATTTTTCTGCCCACACTTTGCCACAAATGGTCTGGATACACTTCCCAGTACTTCTGTGGAAGAAGATACTAGGCCTGAAACAGCTTGTTTTGCAGTTGTCTGATTATGTACATTGAAAAATTGACCTGGGTTTATTTTTCCCTTTTGAAAAGACTATTGATTTTGATGTGTGGCAATTAAAAGAGAGGAATCTGAACATTTTCCAACAGGTACTGTTTCTGTTTGCTCTCAGAGGAAACAATATAAAACTTGGTAAGATGTTCCCCAAATGTTCAGACATAAAATATCTAGTCAAGTGGACAAAAAGTTAACGTAGAGCTATTCATAAAATGGTGTTGAAAGATTAAATATTTCAGGGTGATCTAACTGAATGTTTTGGGATCTTCTGTTTAAAATTACTTCCTGAAAACGAGTGTTTGAGAACGGAAAAATGAAAAAATGGCTTGTGTCATCATCATTCTCTGAAGATAAATTCAGAAATGTAAGTTTGCACAATTCTGAAGGCAGAGGCCTTAGGCTGTATAGCAAGTGAAATAAGTCTGTACTTGTGTTAAATCCCTCTTTGTAAAAAACAAACAAACAAACAAAAAAACCAAAACAACAAAACAAAAAAAACCTTTTGCATTTACCTAGACATCACTGTTTGAAACTTCTGTGTAATGTAAATGTTGCAAAATGTCACATCCAGTGGCCCAGCATTCATCTCTTTTAGTGTGATGTTCCTGTAGTTTTAGTTCCGACTTCTCTGTGCTGCTCATCTAAGACTTAGCATGTTGTATTCCATGAAAACTAGGTATTTATTGAATAAAAATGTAACTGAAGGAATAATAAAATGTGGGTTTTGAATACAGTGCTATTGCACCTAATTCAGAAGTCACTTTAGCCTTCTTTTTCTCATTTGTTAAATTGTGAAAAAGTATACTATTAATGATATTAAAATGTCTAATTCGGAAGTGTTGTGTCAGCACCAAGTTAGTGGTAACTGTACTAAGTATTATCCTTTACTATATAAATTAATGATTACCTTACCATTTATGTCATACATTTAAACAAAGATGTCTTATGAAAAATCATTATGTTGAAAGCTTATGTCTCTGGAAGTTTAGATAGCGAACTGATATTGAAAGTATAAATGAATACTGGTTATGGAGTGTTAGTTTCAGGTGCATTTAAAATAAACATGCTTACTGGGACAATGGGTTTGAGAATTACAGAGTAGTCAGCTTACCAACTCATGAATTCAGGAATATATCATTTTCTTATTTCTTTCTTTTTCTTTTAGATGAAGAAAAATTTTACAAAATCAATTAAAAAAAAAATACTCACTGTAAAACTGTGGTATTGAAGATGCTGCATATTTGCTCCACAAAATTTAAATTGCAGACATGGGCATGTTAGGATCAGTGAAGGATTATAACTCTACATTAACTTGATTTCATGATTAAACTAACCAAAAACAGTCTTGACAACTAAGCAACAGGTAATTTTATGCTGTTTTTTATAAGATTTTATGTTAAGGTTAGAGGAAAGGAGAGTTATGGCAAGCTGTGCTTATCTCACTAGTTAAGTTAGCATCACTTAACAAAAGTAAAAATGGGCTTAATAAGTGCTATTAGTTGGCCACTTCAGAATTCCTCCTTGTAAGGAGTATCCTACTAGATAGTTAGCTGCAGTTATGTTAAGCAGCATGAGAAGGATGTGCTGACTATTACAACCATTTTTAGATAGTAAACACAATTATTTGAACTGTCTCTAAAATTCATGTGATACTGAAAAGTATGTTATTCCAAACTGTTTTGCACAAGTTTGGGATATTTTTCTGTATTACATATACTACCTTCAGATTCTGCATAAAGCAGTTTATTGTAAGGAGCAAAGAATAATCTGTAAATTCTGTGGCTTTTTGAGATTAGGGAGAGGATCAGCAAATGCAAATATAATTATTCCATAAATGGATATTTCATTTCCAAAGCATGTTCTTTACTGTCATGTAGATATGGTAAGATATTTCTGTTTTTCATTAAATGAGACGTTTATGAGCCAAGGTTTAAATATTAATGGCCAAGGGTTTTTCTGTTGCTTCTTCATGAAAAATGTACAAATGGTGCTTTTTCAAATGTCACGAATTATTCCTTCTGAGTGGTTGCTAGTAACCTCATCCTAAGTTATCAGACTATGAGAGAGATGAAAAACTTGGAAATGCGTAAAAGTGTCAAAAGCAAGCATAATTAAGTTAGAGGGTGAAAATGTCAAGTGAACTTCTTAGTTATTACAAACGTACTGGTATGGTCTGTTTCACCATCAAGGATATATTAATTAATGTTTTTACTGAGCATATTTTGAACCTAAACTGAGTTATGATGTATTTCCAAAGCTAAAGTTTAGAGAATTTAATTTTCGTGTATCTTAAATGTAACTTAGTAACTCTTAACAATTGTATTTAAAAAGATGCAAGAGATTTCATCACTTCAGTTGAGAAATGTTGAAATATGGGATCTCTAAGTCTGACCCAGGGCCCCTTGAGTCAGTTAGAACGCTTTTTCTGGGTGGGATTTGGTCCTGGAGATGTCTGTGGGATATTTTTATGTCAGTGAAGGTGTTGCCATATGAACTCAGTCTGTGATGATACCTCTGTGTTTTTGCAGAGTTGTAGTGTAAGTTTTCTTTGACTGTTTGGAATGTGTTTCTAGATCTTGTGGTGCTTTAGGAAATGTTCCAGTCATGCTTCCTCACATGGATGGGATGTACAGCGGTGAAGATTACTCAGATATTGGGGTACCTCACAAGAACTTAGCATGTATGGCTATCTGAAAAAACAGCAGCTAATAAACTAGCTTCCCATATTTTCCTTTTACTTTCATTTCCTCAGAAAGATTATGACTAGAGAACTCCATTGACTGAGAAGTAGAAACCTGCCCATTTCCAAAGCCTGGAGAGAAAGGAGAGGTTTGACTACAGTTCTGATTACAAACTACCATGCTAGGCTGAACTACTGTATTTCCAGTTACTGCTGTCTTGTGTACAGACATGGTTCTTGATGCTTGATTTCTAGACTAGGAGACGTTTTATGAACACTCTCTGATCACCTGCATAATGGAAATAAATATATTTTTCTGTAGAGCTTAATAATTGGCTTAAAGAAAAAAAAAAAACAAACCTACTTTCATCTTGACATGAAGATTTCAAGCAACCTTAAATCTTGAAGGATTCTCTCACGTTACTTGATAGGATGCCCTTGCAGTGACTTACCATCTCCAAGGCACTTGTTTATTTTATTTTATTTTTTATGTCAGTTTAGAGCTATTGGATCCTGTTCTATTTTGTAATTAGTTCAGTAATCCATCTTCCCTTGCAGAAATCTTTACAGACCATGATCAATCACTTGCTAGTTTTTTATTCAGTGAGATAAATAAAATGCTTTGTAAAGCGCTTGCAAGATAGGTCCTATGTAGTCAGATAACTTTTAAAGCTGTAGTTTGTCAAAAGTGCTATATGTTCTATATGGCTGTGATCACAGACCTTTTACAGAACAAAGCTGTCATCAAGAATTTTTCAGTATAAAATACTATACAGAACCAAAGGGAAGAAGCTGAAAGGATACAGAGATTGTAATGATTGTTTATGCTGCAGTGCTGGAATGGAAAACCCATGCAGATTTCTGTGTACACAAATCTTGCTTGCATCTGCCATCACCTCAGTGCTGTTGCGCATCAGAAGGTGAAATTATCCAAGCTGTTTTTCTGTAAGAAATGCTAAAAATCACAGGCATGATTTTAGTTTTGACTGTAGAAGTGACTCAGGAAATAGTTCTGAAAGTGCTTCTGGAATGGCTTGTGAAACAACTCTAGAGCCAACCTCAGAAACCATTCTAGGCACATTTCTGAAATTGACTCTAAGTTTCTTGGGTTGGTGCTGTCAGTCAGTGGGGAAATGTTTCCAGAAGCGGCTCTAGAAGGATTGTGGCAATAAGGCTGAGAGTTGAGTCTAGCAGCTATTGTAGTGTTTCTCAAATTGACTCTTGGTGGGGTTCTAGGCATGGTTCTGGAGATGAATCCAGAAATGAGCCTGCCATTGGCTGTGGGACTGATTCTGGAATTGGCTCTAGGTACTGTTCTAGAGCCAATTCCAGAAGTATTTCTAGCCATTTCTGGTGAAAAGCTGTTCACTGTGCATAGCTCTAAATGGTTGTGTGTTTGTGTTGCAGAACACTGTTAGAAGGCTGTTTATTTGCTGCTGTTGGAAGTCTGTAGTGTTAAGAGGGCTTCCAGAGCAGTGCGTCCTAACCTGTGTGGTGATTTCACATTCTGACTTTAAAATGGATTTCTGAACTATCCTTGGTAGTGACAACCAACAAGATGAGCTTTGTTCAGGTTTTTCACCCAAAGGACAACAATT